TAGAGAAAAATCAGACAAGTGTTTCTTTACAAAAGAATTTTATTGTTGCAGCTAAAATGAGAACTGAAAATTTGTATGGGAAGTTGAAAAACTGTACAGTTTTACTGAAACGGTAAGGTCATTGCGGTGCCTTACGCAAGAGACGATATACCTGAAAACGTATTATACCAAAACATTTAGCTTGTTTTTTATTTTATTTTATCTCTTTTCTTAAAAAAAGTTTTCTATGGCAATTGGTAAAAAAAGAAAGACCTGATGAGTAAATATTTTGCTTAAGGCATATAGCAGAGCAGCTCACTAACTTTCTAACAAGTTTAAACATGGATATTTCTTTTCCTTTCCCCCTCCCAAACCCCGCCCAAGAATAGGTTAACCAATACATCCACTTTGAAATGCTACTGTATATACACACCCCAAACTACTACATTACATGTACAAGGACATCAAAACAAAATGCTTACAGTTCAGCATGACAAGCCGTATCCACACCTCGCTGAGCTTTATCGGGGCTTTCTACTGTATTTTCTTACAGTACTTCTATTCCACCCTTCTTATGCTGGTCTAGGACCATTAAAAAAAAAAAAGGATTTGATTGGATACAGCATTTCTTTTGATCAAAATGACCAAGGCAAATAGTGATGCTGGCGGACTGGAGAGAAACATGGTAATCAGAAGAGATTTCTTGGCTGTCTTGGGACAACAACAAAAAAGGAAATTTAGTTCTCCCTGACAGATTAAATATAAGTACAATCACGTTGCTGTGGAGATACATTCTGAAGTTGACCATGTCGTTGTGGAAGAGATAATACAATTCTTTCATCAAAGAGGTTTGGTTTTTTTTTTTTTAAAAAAAACCTAAAATCCCTTTATTTATTTTCAATGAAAAGAACAGATTTTCAATTCTAGTTTCATTCTGGTGATCTTTTGTAAATAACTGTTTCCTTCGGACTCTCAGAGGACAATTTAACGTATCTTGGCAGAGGGGCGTCTCTGGGGAATAAAAATGGTTAAAACGGTACCTGCGCCTGTATGGTTGAACCTATCTCCCCCTTTTTTACATATGTCACACACATCAAAAGGGGGCGGGCCTTCCATTGATTGGTTGTGGTTGCCATCTTGACATTTTTGCCCCTTCTTGCTGAATGCCCCTAATCTTGGCACTTCATGTTTCAGAAATTTGCCATAGAAAGCTAGGGTGCATGTGTGTGTGTGTGTGAGAGAGAGGTGTGAATATGGCTTTGTACACACTCTGGAATGTTTGTACTATAGTTACTGGATTGAAATGAGTGCTATACAACTGGTTTAGGTGGTGTACATAGAAAAACTGCCAAATAATAGGCAAGATACAGGCAACCAGGCTTCTTTTTAAAGAGAACACACACACTTACCAATCTTTGAGCTGAATGAAAACACTTCAGCGACACCCTTGGAATCACAGCCATTTAAATAATCAGATCATGCAAGTATAATTGGGCACATCAGAAAGCAGAAATATAAAAAATTATGTTCACCTTTTAAGCACAAGGATTTCAATCAGGACACTTTCAGGAGACTTTATACATGCATTTGAATAAAAATGTGATACAAATGCGTCTGAATAATATTCTACTGGATGACGGAACGTGGAAGGGACAAAGCAATCACATACTGAGTAGCAAAATACATAGATGAGCCATTATATATTATGCCATTTTCTATAGTCATGTCAATATTTTCACGTTTCCAATATTATTACTAAGTATTGACTGCTTAACAAAATTCCTCTTTCTCATAGGTAAGGCTGTGAGTTTCCCAGGACTACCTATGAATGTATTATTGTTGTTTTGAAAAGAAAAAAAACCACCTTGATACTAGCCTCATTTCGAAATTGTTCTTTCAACTCCACCTTTTCTTCCTTCCCCTTCTCCAAGACCTTTCTTTAACATCTCATTTGTTTAAAGAAGAAAAAGCTAACTTTGGTCAGAATTGAGGAGTAAAATAAATATGGAGTGAGAACCCTGATATATCACAGATTTTAAAAAAGAGATGATACTTAAGTGCTATAATAGGTAGAATATAGAACTTCCAAATAACTTGCACTGTAGATTGGGTGTCATTGTGTTAATGGAACAGCTGCAATTTCAGTACACTTTCTCCTCTGTAACCAGGTTCCCTTTTGTTATTTATATTGCTTATAAAGAGGGGAAAGGGGATAGATTATCAACATCAGCCTACTTCCCCAGTCGTAATATTTATGAACAACAAAACACATGATTGGTCATTTTTTACTCTTTTCTTAGCAGCTACAGTCAGCCAAGCTAAGCTGTACCTAAAATAATAAAAATAAAATACAAACAAGTTCTCTCTTCAACTTCATGTGGAACAAAAGGATTTGTTCTGAGTTAGGGTGCAAACTTCCTCTTCAGCAGAGGCAGAAGGCTCACGGATAAAGCCACCAATCTTACGCACCTGAATTAACAGTCAGAACCATGGAGTTCATTCAAGGAGGCGTTAAGATTGCAGCCTTAAACCTGGCTCCTAAACAGCATGATCTTTCAGCCAAATAAAAGCTAATCTTGGAATCTTTGTTCTAAAAACAAACACTGAAAATCATCAACACAGTGGTTTGTAACAGGAAAAGATCGAGAGAAGAGCTAGCCCAGCACTGAGGTTGTGCTGAGAAACATTGCACTAGATCTTTACCATGAGGAGGGTTGCATGTGTGTTAAGAGAGTGATGATGATGGTTTTAAAATGGCTCCTCTTCTATTCTGGATACGCCATGGGACATTCTTCACATGGTAAGTCTAGAATGAGATCGCATTTTACATTCCATAGGATGGCAAAGCTTACACGCTGGTCCTTTTCTAAAGCAAAGGTCTTGATATCAATGCTGGTGGACATTCCCTTACATTTCCTTTCCCCTTCTCCATAAGGATAGGAAACTATATACAAAGGTAAAATGTTTTTGTTTTTTTAGGAAGGTCGATCGTGCAATACAATGGGCATGTACACAGAAATAAAGAGTGCAAGAGATGATTGACAACATAGCAATGAGCACTGATGGTGAGTGGGGAGAGGAATCACTCATTTTGTCCCAAAAGGAGCGAGAATATTGTAGCATTGACCTGTTGGGATGCCCTGAGAAAAAGCGGTGCCCGTTTATAGCATGTTACTGAAGCAAGAACCTTACTTGAGAAAAATAAAATACATCCCATATTATTTGCACTGCCAAAAAACCCAGGGTGCAATCCAATGGAGCATGTCCAGTCTCCAGTCATTCACTGGAGCTCCTGAGCAACATCCAAATCTATTAAGAGGCTATGCATAAGTGGTTCTTTAGACTGAGCCATCAGTCCTTAAAAAGGCAAAGAGTGAAAAGCTTCCTCTCTCTCTCTCTCTCTCAAAAAAACAACCCTGTACATTCTTCAGGGGTGTGTATCTGTGTATACAGTGGTTGTTGAAAGGAATACCATCGTGTATTGGGTTACAAATGCTAGGGGAACATAAGCAATTTTCACTTGTGCCTAGTTCCTTTTTTCTGAAAAAACCACCAAAAGAACAACAGAAGTACCCCCCTGGCTTTAAAATATTAAAAAAAACAGCAATGTGTTGTAAACTCTTATTATTCCATTAAAAAATAAGGAAAAAATGAAAAAAAAAAACACAAGACTTATTTGGCATATTCTCTGCTTACTCCTGAATATCTTAAGGCCCTGAGATTAGAATATTATGTTCTTGGGACCTAGGGCTAAATCCTAAACCCTAGTGCATCAACTTTCTCTTTAAACCCTAACCAAAGTTCCAACTTCTCTAACATGCCATACATTTCCACTTGGATAAGGCTTAGTTGCCCTTTTAGCTTTCTTGTACAGAAACAAATGAAACACCACGAATGTTACTGGTATTCTGATACCACCAGCGTGATGTCCATCAATGAAAATATACTCTGTAACAGAGGTATGCACCCGCTGTCAGGACAGTGAACATGCAGATGTTGACCAGGAATGGTTTCCAAGTTGTCATCATGCTCTCTTCATCCTCTTCTTCTGGCTTCAACATTTCATCATTGCATGGTGAAGCATCAACAGTTCTCTTCCTAAGCGTACTGTCTGGGCTGGTGCTGCAGAACAAACATGATGAGATTAGAAGAATTCTTTGGTGTGTGGCGTGATTAGTGAGGCTCAATTTGAAAAGTAAATGGACTTTCCTTAGCATGATTCCAATACTGTGGTTCTGTCATTTTAATCATTAAATGACTTCTGAATAAAAATAGCTAAATTAAAGCAGGAAAAATAGGAAAGGGGCCCTGTAGATATAAAAAGCAATAGTGACATCTAGTGTTAAAATACATTTCATTTCTCCTTTATGTTTCTGATAACCATTCTCACTCAATTTCTGGGTAAAGTTTTCATAAATGGAGCTGGAGAACTTTAAAGTGGCAAGGTGTCTCTCTGAAATTTTGCAACTGTTTTAAAGGATCTGAAGTAGAACCACATAGGATCATTAGTTCCATAATTATTCTTTATATATCCCGCTTTCTCCAAGAGTAATAAACTTACATAAAATTTACAGTTTCATCCGGACAATATTTAAGTCCAATTAAAAATGTTTTATTCCACTGAAATTTTAATAAATGTTAAACAAAGCACTGTCCTTCATTTTCAGCCATTGCATAAAGGAAATAACAATATTCTGAAACTGTAAGACAAATCATTCTTCCTTCAAACTCATATGCTAAGAGCCAAGGTGGCGCAGTGGTTAAATGCAGCACTGCAGGCTACTGCTAGATCAGCAGTTCAGCGGTTCAAATCTCACCGGCTCAGGGTTGACTCANCATTGCAACTGGGAAAACCACAGCCTTGACTATAAGCACTTTTGTTGTCAGGGTGATGTCACTGCTTTTTAGTATGCTGTCTAGATTTGCCAGAGGTTAGCGACTCTCAAAGAGATGAATTGGGGTTAAGAATTGGGAAATATAATTTAAACATGGTTATTGAAATGTTTCTTTTTATCAAACAGGGCATTGAAAGTCTAGAGCAAATTGCCACACTGTGCCAATCAGAAGCGGAGGAAGTAAGGACCACTGCCAGAGAAACAACACTTTCATTTGGTAAATGCTTCCATGATTCTCTGCTTAGGTGTTCTGAGTGATAATGAATAGCAAGTCCTCATTTTGTGATCAGAAATGGATATGGCAACTCTGTCATGAAGTGAAGCATCACGAAATGAAACCATGGCTGTATTTATGATCTTACTTCAGTTTTCCTTTGGTTTACATACCTGCAAAGCTTCATGGCTAGGCTTTAGAGACCTAAAAATAGATTGGAACAGAACAGAACAGAACCATGGCCAAGTGTGATTGGACACACAAGGAATTTGTGTCCTGTACATAAGCTGTCCTGTACATAAGCACTGTACATACAGACATCAAAGAAAATATAATCATAAAATACTAATAAGAGACAATAGTACAAAAGATGAGAAGAATAATAGCAATATGGCCATACTACATGGGTAAATATCATTATATGTAAGACATAACTGTGGGAATTAGCTGTTCAAATAGGTAGTAACTAACTGATGATTACCAGTAAAATAGCAAATAAAAAGAACTGGAGCTTGTAGAGTTAATCCTCTTAATGAGCGTGGAAGTTGTACCAAGATGTAAATATTGCTTGCTCTAAAGAACTGACTTGCCTCTTGCCATTGGATCACATCTTTTAAGTATCTTTTTTTATATCAAATCTAAAATTCTCTCTGCCATCTCCTCTGCTGCCCATCATGCTCCTAGTTCCAGTTTCAGATTCTTATATGTGTAAAAGCAAATGGGAAGCAAACATCCTGTGAAGCATCCTTGTTGTGGTTGTTATCTCTAATCCCAAGCATTGTTCTGGACCTCATAAACACACTGAACACATTTAGAATACTAAATATACGATGTTCAGCCCATTGTATCTAGGGGTGGGCTTCAAAAATTTCAGCAATGGGTTCTCTGCCCAGTTGCTGGGTGGGCGTGGCTATGGTGGGTGTGGCCTAGTCAGCCTCCTGCACTATGGATGGGAGGAACTGTTTTCACCTTCCCCAAGGTCCGGAGGTTTTCTTTGTGCCTCTGGTTGGGCGAAAACTGTTTCCCGGGGCTCCAGAGGTCCTCCAGAGGCCAGAGATGGTCTTAGTCTAAAGGCTGGCACATTTCCGGCCTTCTGGAACTTCTGGGAAGCCCGTTTTCCCCCCTCCCCAAGCCTCTGTGCGGGCCCTGCATTTACCTCACATCCAAAACGGACTTGTGGAGACTCCTGAAAAGGGCAGGGTGGGATGGGCGGGGCCAGCCAGAGGTGGGATTTGGAGGTTCTACGAGCCAGCTGTAATGTTAACTATGAGTAGCATTTCTCTTTAAAAAAAAGAGTCAAAAGGAAGCTCTAATGGTGGAGACTATGCAACCAAGTTAAAGGACACAGCAAGGAGCAACCTCATTAGTTTGACTCCTGCTAATTAGGTTTTTAGTGCTAGTCTTTACCTCATAAGCAGAGAGCCCATTATAAACCCTGCTTTATTATTTTATTTTATTATTTATCACATTTTGAAACCACCCATTTCCCTCACAAAGATGCTCGCTTCAGCCAATATCATCAAACTTGATAGGAAGTTGTTCCAATAACATATGGAGGCTCACAAATTTTCCTTCTTTCCTCGATGCCCTGATTCCGGGGTTAACTTCTGCCATTCTAATACGCCAGATTTTGTTCACAAATTCAGGGGTGACATTCGGATGACAGATAAGAATTTTGTCTTAGTGCAGCTGGTGCGAGAAAGAAAACGCAAACTGCCTTCTATTCACTACTCTAGAAATGGGGAACGAAATGCTCCAGCAGCTGTGAAAATATATTGGGAAATATCACCTTTGGTCATCCAAGAAGATAACTTTTTATTTACTTATGGGGTTTACTTCCTATCTTTCACCTATCTGTTATAACAGATTCAAGAAAGGAGAATTGAGCTTTGGGCCTCTTTTGATAGCAAAAGTGAAGGAAATTGGATAACCTGATTTACAAGCTACTTACTATGTAGCACTAGAGAAGCAACTGAAATGATGTTGCAAATCTTTGGAATTCATTTATGGGCTTTCTCCAGAAATTTGCTTTGATTTTCTTAACTTCCTTTTACAACCATGTACTCCTTACCGAATTTTATAAAATTATCCAGTTTGGGATTATAACCAATGCAGAACACTATAACTATGATTATTAGGTGTATTATGCCTAATGCTTGCAAATAACATGTGTCTCTTTCCTCCCTCTGCTGTGGCTCCGTCACTGGTTGGCGCCACAATTTTGGGGGGAGCTTCCCGGGGGGGGGGGGGGAGAGGAGCACAGCACGCCAAGAGAAGACTCTATGGCAAGGGGAGGGTTTTCCAGTTGTTTCCCTAATTGATAGGTCTTTTGGTTATGACAGGCAGAGGAAAAAGTATGCCGCGCTAGGAGGAGACTCTATGGTAGGGGAACTGAACTTCCAGTCATCTCCAGAATTGAACAGGGGGCTTCCTGTTAGGACCTTTGGGCTCCTGGTGTTTTCTTTTCTGTGGGAAACAAATCCAAATGGCTCTTTGAGTGTTTAAGTTTGCCGACCCCTGGTCTAGATTATGTTTCATGTTTATATCTTTGCTCTCCATCCAGAGTGCCTTTGCTTAGATGGAATTACCATATCCATTTGTTTCATACATCAATAAACTGAAGTCAAAACACAGGTTTTCTATAGTAAAGGGAAGGGCTGGAGAAGTCTCCGTCTAAACGTGATTGAGAACATCTCCCTAGCAAGTTGAGGATCTGGAAAGAGAGGACCATTGGTGCCTCAAGAGAATATGGACTACCATTCCCAACACAGTTGTCTTAATTATGGTTACTTTCTGTTTTTCTTTGCAGGAGAAAAGGGAAGATTGGCTTTTGAAAAAATGGACAAAATATGCTGTGAACTAAGAGAGGCTATGTATCAAGAAGCTGAAATTGAAATTACAATATTTTGAACAAGATCTTCAAAGGAAGACCCAGGAGTTAGATTCTACAGTAAAAAGGAGTCTTCCAAGAAAAAAAGTAAAGTTGAACGCCATTGGAAAATGTAACAAACCACAATTACAAAGATTTTTAAGCATCCACATTCTAGTCTTAAATATAACTAATATTACACTTGCACTATATTTGGGTGCTGAAGATGTATAGTGAAACCCAAAACACCATTTTTGGATTTGAGGAATGAGATTGGAGAAGCTTCTTCTTATTTTTTAATTGTTAGGTCTCCCTCTTTGGTTTCCATTCAAGACAAAATATTTATCTTCTCTGACAAAAGAGGAGGCAGACTATTTTATATGTATTTATTCATTTAATTCTTGTAGACCAAGATTTTCAAATGTAAAGTTCTAAACTTATTAGCTCATTGCAGCGAAATAACTTGTGGTTGCCTTCTAGTGGCCGTCTCGCAGATCTCACAGAGACCTTATTCCTACACCAAAGGGCAAAAGTTGAGTCTGGTCATTTCAAATTGTGGTCATTTTGTTTCCTTTTTACATAAAACATCCTAGGGAAGCACACATCTCCCCTGGCCTCCCCCCCCCTCATTCTTTGATTTGGGGAGAGGGGCATCTGCAAGGTTTTTAAAAATCATGGTGGCTACAACTGGATTATTGAAGTTTATCCTGTTTTTATTTGTATCATATGCACAAGGCATGCGAAAAAGCAGACAGGGCTTTGTACATCGAGTAAAACTCAAGACAGAAAATTCTTGGATTTGTGGACTGAGATTGGAGCTTTACAAATAGTTGTTGGCCATCCCTGTAGCTTCCATTTAAGATGAATATTATCATGTTCACATTTTTGGCAGACCTCCTCTCCCTTATTCCTTCCTCCTGCCCCACCCCTATTGCACCTTTTTCCTATTTCTACTTATCCAACTATTTGAAGAGCTGTGGTGGTACAGTGGTTAGAATGCAGCACTGCAGGCTAACTCTGCCCAGCATCAGGCATTCGATCCCGATTGACTCAGCCTTCCATCCTTCCGAGATTGGTAAAATGAGTACCCAGGTTGTTGGGGGAAATAGGCTGACTCTGTAAACTGCTTTGGGAGGGCTGTAAACCACTCTGAAGCGGTATATAAGTCTAAATGCTTTTGTGTTGAAAGGCATCTAGCCAGTAAACACTTAGCTCCATCCAGTCACTCTGATTTTACCCCGAAGTGAGGAATTACAGGATCAGAAAAAGGGGTAGTTACTTATCCATCTTTTGAGGGAATATTTCCATTAATTTGAATACATTGGAGTAAAATTAGTATGGAAAAAAATCCAGGCAATTAAACACCTCTGGGGAATATATATATATATCCCAAGAAATAGTTTTGGAAGCATTTTATTGTCTCCTAAAGATTTGAATAAATTGAAATTATGTCTTTATTTCTGTCAATAAAGTTTAAAATGACTGTATGCAATAAGTAATACATGGGATACAAAAGAAAAACCATTCCTTCCCGTCAGTGGTGGGTTGCAGGTGGTATGCCCCGGTACGGGTGTACCGGTGCCTGCCCGGAGCACCTGATAACATTCTGGTACGGTGCTCCAGAGGGCCCGCCTGCTCGAGCTCCTTACCTGTATTTGAGGTCTTTGGCGCTTCCAGGAAGAGCATATAGCACCTGTGTGACGCTTCGCCGAGCAACTGAAGCGTCGCGGAGGCGTCGTAGGAGGTAAGGACGCATGCACGCGCTGCGCACGTTCATGTAGTGGATGCCAGGCCCCGTTACAACCGTATTGGTTGCAATGGGATCTGGAACTCACCACTGCTTCCCATTCTAAGGCTCCTTTGGAAGCAGTGACAAAGAACCATTTTTAAAGGGCTTCTAGTGGTTGCTTGAAATATGTTTTGATAATTTTTTTATTGATCTTGGCAACACCTGGTGGTACGGAGCATTAAAG